GTTTCTTCAGACTTGCCTTACTTTCGCTTGCCCTCAGTTTATAAAATATTTTTCCAAAAACCCGCAATAAATGTTTGCTAAAGGTGCTGTACAGGTTGCCCTTCTTAACCCACATTTTCTGCCAACTCTCCCAATCAAATCAAGTTTAAAAACCATTATACACTGATTTCCCATTTTCAAAGGATGCAATGGGTATCAAATTTATTGGGATTCTCGCTCACCCCTGCCGCTGCGTCCCACGAAGCGCAGATCATTGAACTTGGCCACCTGGTTCTTCATGACGGCGGTGCAGTTGCGCAGCTCGCCGCAGAAGTTCTCGTCGTTGCCGGCGCGTATGGTGACAATGGTGCCGTCCATGACCTCGCCCAGGGCCAGCACCTTGAAGGCGATCGGCAGCGTTTTGTTCGAGCGCCAGTGCGTGGGCAGTGTGGTGCACACCTGGAGGGGGATGGGGATAACAGGAGTATTATAAGTGCATAAGATTAAGAGTTTCTTCTTCTGCCCCGAGCTCTTCCTCTTCTTCGTCATACTCACTATGTGGGGTGAGCCCGTCTTGACCAGCTCGCCTGGATGCTCGGCTAGCAGGACGTCGACAGTGCGCTCGATCAGATTCTCGGGCGTCAGGTACGGACTTGTGTCCACTGTCTTGCTGTTGTTGTTATTGTTATTGTTGCTTTTGCTATTGTTGTTGTTGTTGCTGCTGCTGTTGTTGTTGTTGTTATTGTTATTGGTCTCTGCATTGCGACGCTTCGTTGTGCTGGCCGTTGTTGTTATTGTTGTTGTCGCTGCCGCCGGATGTTGCTGTTGCTGTGTTGGCTGCTGTTGTTGTTGTTGCTGCTGCTGATGCTGATGCTGATGCGTTTGATTTGAAGTGGTCGAACTGACCTCGGCTGAAATGTGCATTATTGCTTATAACACCAAGAGCCTATGTCCTTGATTGATGTTTACTAATTGCCTCGATTCGATTTCTTTTCCAGCTACTTCATAGAGTCGCGCACTTGATCATCTGCAATGTGTTTGGAGGGGGAATGGACATTAAATTGAAATGAATTATACATTTTACAGTAATTTAAATGATCTTGTTAAGTTGAGTCTTAAATGAGCTTTAAGGCACTCTCTGTCCATAGACAAAGAGACTCTGTCTTAGGGTCTGCCTAATCCAAAGTAACTTTGATTCATTCTCAAACTTTAATAATTGCTTATTCCATAAGATTCATTCCCAATCTCAAATGTCTCCTTCTTATTCTCAGTTTTCAAAAATGCCGAATGTAGCAAGTCGTTAAATTCAATATCTTCTCCTCCTCTTTTTAATAAAATTGTAGCTCAACAAGCCTTTTTTCAATTATCCCAAAAACGTAGATCAGTGACACTCTGCCTTCGTCTCAAACTTTATAAATTCCTTATTTAACTCATTCTTCCCAGAGTCCTGAAAAAAGCTAGTTCATAGAGTCTTCTTAACAGTCTTCAATCTATAAAGAGACTTCAAATTTGTCGATCAGGGAAACTCTTCTACGCAATATTCACAAAATCATTTTACCATAAGCCTTGCTCAGTCTTATTCTTTACGAATTCTTTACTTCACTTCTTGGTCTTCACAAATACATTAGTCAGGGGACAGCACTCTCCGGCTCCATCTTAAAAAATGTCCAGCTCAATGCGCCTCTGCCTCAATCGTCCCATATCTTTATTTTATGGGACTCTTACTCAATCTCAAGCTCCCACTGCAAAGAGACTCTCAAATTCGTTGCAATCTTCAGATCTCCGATGCTTAGTCACGCTCTCTTTTTCAAAATCTTCAAAAAATACAAGATCAATGAGACTGTCTCAGTCTGAGTCTTAGAATCTCTCACAATCTTCACAAATACATAGATCAGTCTCACAGCCTTCACAAATTACTAAATCAACCGAATACTCTAATAGAGCAAAAAGATGCTCTGGTGCTTCCTAATGACTAAAGATTAAAAAAAAA